AAAGTTGTAATTGATTTAAAACTGCCAAATGAAACTGATGATATTGCTGCAGTTTATGTACCCTTGTCGCGGGTAAAACGTTTGACTGATTTGGTTATTTTGCGATATTTCGATTACAAGGCTTTGTTAATTAAACCCAGCAAGTCACAACTGGCAGAAATTGAACGACTCGATAAACTATATTTAGAGACCCAAGCGCATTTTCCAGAATGGTTGTAACACCTTTTCTGCTTTGCATGAAAACTGCTGTCGTTGGTGTCAATTTTTATATATACGATTTTCTTTTCTTTATTACTTACTCTATTATATATACATTTGAATATTTTTTATTGTTCGTATTGCATGTATTAGCAGTAGTCATTTCTTTTATCGTCATGTGAAATGATCTGCGAAATATCCAGATACTACTTTTATTCTATATATTCATTACATTTCATTTCATTATAAATTTAATATCTTTGTAATTCATGATTACTTATCAAATTTCACGAATAAACACACTCTGATAAACATCATCTCATACTTATAATTAAATCATTTTATGCTACTATGTGACTAAGATGACCCATAAATTTGACAATCAAATCATGTTTTATTTTAAACATTTTTTCTTGTAATATTTTTGTGTAACTGTATTCTGACTGAGACACCACCGAACAAGTCTTGGAGAACCATATTCAGCTCTGATTATTGCAATCAATTTCTTTCAGCTCATTACTATTGTCTCGTAGAATACTAATTTTGCTAGTAAACAGTTTTATCAACTAATACTAATATGAGTGGTCGCTGTTTCACATTCTCAACAAGTTTTACTTGAAAGACACATTGTTTTCATAAACGAAATCTCAGAGCATTTCAAGATATTGTTGTAACTGTCGCGATATACAAATCAGAATTTTAAGAAACATATCTTTGTAAGATTTCATTTAATCAAAACGCTAGCACGAAATAGCAACTTTATATGCAGATATTACTATCATTTGAAGCTGAGCACATTTTGAAAGTCAATTAGAACATTATTGTGGCAGAGACGATTCATTAGTCTTGATATTCTTAAAGTTTTACGGGGTAAGTTAAAATAGTATATCGTTGCTCTAAACTCGTCAGTCGAGGGTTAAGCGAATCGCACAGCGACGAGCGTTACTTGTTTTAATTCGATTATATGTTGACTGACATCGACAATAGCATGAAAAATGAATTCTAATTCATTTTGGTTTCATTGATTTCGAAATCTTTATTAATCATATTTATGGAACAAAATACAGATTTTTGCCGCGCGGGACAACATTATTTCGATATAACTCTCCTAAAATCTTTATTGATGCCTCAAATGATCGATCATAAATGAATTTAGCAATAGACATAGATGAAAATTCGTCTGTTTGATAACTATTCAATAGACGTGGAGCATAAATTAGAACAATTAATCAGTGAATACATAATGTCTGTTTTGCGATTCAGCTAGTGAATAATTATCCTTTTCATCGACAGCATTTATGAATATTGACATAATCGTTTTCTTTTTACTTCGCCCATATTCAATAATTGTCTTTGTCAAACAAACGTGCTGTCTCATTTTTTTTCACATATTCAACGGAATAAATGATCTAAAAAGTTTGTGTGATAACTTCTTTTAACGCTTACAAATATAATACTGACTAAAGGAAGAATTTATTTTTAAGCATTGTTCATATTGAGATATGCCTATTTTATTGAGAATTCTCGAGTGATGCAGTAAAAATGAGTCATTTTTCACCTTCGATACTTGATCAAAGCATCTCTATCGTTTTAAAAACTAGTTTAAAATGTTGAATAGAAAAGTATTAAAATACACCCATATATCTTACATTCTATAGTGTTTGGTTCCCTTAAAAACTTTTGAGTTTTTTTTTATAGATTTAGAAACAAAAAGAAACGGCAACTGACACTTTTTTTTTTACAAGATCTATTTTGCTCTTTGTCATGATGTCGGTTGAGGTTCCTTTCATTCATTGAATGGCGCCTTTTTTTCTCTTATCGCATTTGAAACAAAGAACGTATTAAGGTTCCTAGTGAAAGACATTAAGAAAAAGGATCGATAAGGTTTGACAAAATATTGAAAACAAAAACTGACCCATTTTTACTGAATTATCCGATAAAATATTTCTTCTTTCTCATCGAACAGAGAAATTTCACTATTTTCAAAAAATCATCCTTGTCCTCTTTTTCCTGAATGTGCAATGGAAATAAACAATCATTATATAATAGACGAGTTAACCTTCTTCAAATATCTTCAACGGACATCTGGGGTTAGTTTGCAAGCAATCATTTTAATAAATTAACATATTGAAACAATATGGCCCAAAATTATTAATTAACTAGATTTTATTTGAAACTAAGAAAGGATACATATTATCATGCAAGATCTTTGTCTCTTCCCTATCGAAACAAATTACATTAAAGATTTGATATATATCAATAGAATGATTATAGAACTGTCGAATAAGTCAATCGTCTATTGTAGTGCTCGTTTTGTGTAAAATCACAGACCCGTTAGTCAGAAGTGTTTCAAGAAGAAAAATCAAAATGTGTCAAAAAGTTCTCGCTCCACGCAATTTTGATTTCTCGTATCGTCTTCCAACGACATCTCTCTTCAAAACTGCAATGGTCCCCGTGTTTTTCTCCTTTTTGTTAGCTTTACTAATAAAAATAACAACAAGACTTAAGAAGCAGAATTAAATACCATTTGTATCCATCAATTCAAACTGAAAATTGTTAATATATTGTACTAAAAAAAGAGAGATTCATATAAAATATTTTTCACAAAAAAAAGATTTTATTGTAAGAGTCATTATTTCGATGTCAATAGTATTTGTCGGTTTCTTTTTTCTTAGCTTTTTATACTCAAATTTGCATGCTCTTGTGAATCATACCGCGTTTACTTGTTTTGTCCTTTCTTTTACAAATCAAGATCTTTTTTTTTTTACTTTGATAGGAGAAAGAGACTAAATAAAAGCGACACATTTCTACATCATTTTATAGAATGAATTCAGACGAGTATCCACAACCATCAGCTCCTCCCCCACCACCATACTATGAACATGTCAATGATAATAGACATCTATATCCTGATCCACATTCAACTCGAAATGATTCTGAATCACGCGATAGTTACATGGCTAATTTCAATAAGTTCGTTAACCGCTATGAAAGTGAGCGTTTTTACCACATTATAAATTGATCATAATACAAGCATGATACTGTTTTAGTTAGTAAAGCTTTTGCTGATAGATTACATGCTCTTCGAGGTTGTGAAATCGTGTTTATTTGTGACGATTCAGGTTCGATGACTGCACCGATTGGTAAGTAATAATCTTGTTTTATATGTTTATTGTTCATCTGGTTATTGTTTAACAATCTAGGCGAAATGAATGATCCATTCGGTAAACAAGTTACACGTTGTAAGATTTTTATGTAGTAGAACAACAACGATTTAATGTCAATTTCATTATCGTTTTCAGGGGATGAATTAAAGCGAATAGTATCGATAGTAGTTGATTTAGCCAATGTTTTTGATCCGGATGGTATTGATGTTTATTTTCTCAATCGTGAACCAATATTTCATGTACATGATTCATCCGAATTAGATAATCTTTTTGCTGTTGCGCCAGAAGGTAATTAAAACATGTGATATGATTTTGTTTTTTTTCTAATTTTTATTTGTTTTTAAACCATTTTTATGCTCAACACCGATTGTACCTGTTCTTCGACAAGTACTTCATGAAAAACGTAATCATATTTATGAGCGCAAATTACTGCTTCTCATAGCTACTGATGGTATACCAACGGACGAGCGAGAACGTCCGGATATTCATACACTTGAACATGTCCTCAAAAATGAACGTAAACCTACGAATCAGATTCCAGTAACGATTATCATTTGTACAGGTATAATAGAAATATTAAAAGATTTTCATGATATATTTACTATTGTTCGAAGTTATATTTCATTTATTTCAAAAATAATAAATTATTTTATATTTTTATTTTTTATATTAGATGATAATCAATCTATGAAGTATTTAAACGATTGGGATAAAACAATACCGAATCTTGATGTTGTTGCTGACTATCGAAATGAAAAGAAAGAAGTTCAAATGTGTCGTGGTAAAGATTTTCAATTTAGTTTCGGTGATGTAAGTCATAATGATCCCTCGTTCTCACTGTTTTCGATCTGCCTTTGTTTCTAGTATATTGTCAAAATTTTATTGGGTGGCACAGATAGTTGGCTTGATGATTGCAACGAGAAGAAGTAACAACATATCATTAGCAATGTTCTACTGAATTAATATACCACCGTTCTGTCAAGACCTATTCAAAATACTCACATTATTAAAATACTGTCTGCTATTAATGTGACATTTTCTTTCTTATAATTTTCTGTTCCATTCCGTATGAAGTCATGTGTCCAGAACATAAATGCGTTTTGCTAGATCCATCCCATATGACGAGAACGCAAGCATATTTGTCAGGTCAAGAGTAAATGAAACTTGACTTTTCAATACAACAAACGATTTTTTCTTTTGTTGATAGTTCAAGTCTGTTAATATTCAACTTTCTTGATTGAGCTCATCGAATGAAAAAAAACAAAAAGTTTTGTAATGAAATCAAAGCAAAGTTCGGTAGTTGACATAGCAATCAACATCAGTCATAGATGAGAAGTCTTAATAAACAAGCAAATTAAAACATAACTAGAAGATATTTGTTCTTTGGAATATGTTTTACTGTTTCAAATGACGATATAGTATATTGGTACAAGATTCTAATCATGGTTAGTGCAGAAATAACGGCAATCTTAGTAATTCGATTTTTTTCCTGTTTCTTGGGCTTGATGGAATTGATTCTGTTACTCATATATGTCTTGTTCGATTCTCCACAAAATCGTGTGCAAATCATAGTCTCGAATTTTGACGTACTTTCTAATCGAAACGCAAATGCAAAATGGTTCAAAAATAAGAAAAGTTTAATCTTTTTTTCCACATGATCATGTAAGAAATGAGATTATACAAGAATTCCGCTTTTGGCTTGAAAATCGAAAGATAAATTGAATTTTATTGTATAATTAATTCTTATTTTCTATATGGAATAGCCGATTTGAATAAAGCAACAATTAAATCTTGTGATCTTGAAGTGTTCAAAGGTGAGCATCAACAAGCTTTACTAATTGAAAAAGCTACAGAAGCAAAAGAGAATATATAGAGGTTCGATTCTTTTTATGACAATAGAATGTTTATCGTTTATTTTGTTTCAGAATTGTTATTCGGAAAAAGTTTTCAGAAACAACTACTGAAAATTGGATGATTATCAGCTTTATAGGTAGATCATGATCCTCAATCTTTACCTCCACTACACCGTCATTGCCTCAAAACATTGTAACGTTTTGTTGTTCTTATTTCTTTTCAGCATCAGAAAAAAATAACAAGTTAAAGTAAAAGAGAATTTATGCTTCATATTCCATCCAGATCTTTACATTGTTTATAAAAGTTTAAAATCTTTTTTTGCTATTTACTGAAACAAAAGATTTTTATTTACCGAAAAAGAAATGTTTTGTTTTTAATGAGCAGGAATATTTAAACTAAATAGATTCATTAAATGTGCGATAAAATCATAAATATTTTTTAATAGATGACAATTTATAGTTCCATGTCTTTTATTTGTATACTCTATTATTATTGATGCTAAATGTTTCATGACAGCTTCTTTGTTAATTGAATCGCAGATACTTGTATTTGAGTGTGGTGTTGTTGTGAATGCGTTCGTTAAACAAAGACAAGCATTCACATTCCTAAATTCGTCCAACACCTACTCAAACACACGCACAACTTCACTGCGTAATCAAACTCAACATAGTCACGGCATTTACTATGATTATTAATCATCGATGAATAAGCCATAATACATGAAAAATCAAATATATATATATATATATATCGATAAAATAATGACAAATAATACATTGAAAAATGTACAAATAATCATACGAAGTATTTTATTCGATATATCAAAAAAACAAACTGTAAAGATAAATGTTTCTTTTAATTATAAAAAAATTCAATTGGACAAATCAATTGTTTCAATCCTGACTCGATCTAGAATACTTACATATTAGTTTCAATTTTAAGGACTATTTATGTTTTTTGGAATAGGCAACGATCCACTTCAACAGTTGTTTTGAAAAAAAGTTATCTTTCTCCGCAGCTCTATTAGCTACGAAATATTAGAGAAGTATACAAAACCAAGTTGAAATAAAAAATATATCAATTAAAGTAGATGGTAACTGAAAATAATCGGACTAACTTTTAACACGAAAATTTGTTTTTTATCTATACGATGAGAATATGCTTCAATAATTCAGTAATAACCGAATATAGCAGAATGCAAACTAAAAAAGTCGGATGACCTACTGAAAACAACTTTAAGAATACACCAACTCTTATCAAAGTAATTGTGCCGGCTCCTCTCATTTGCGAACATAAAATCGAAATTCAAAATCTGTTAAATTCAATTTCAGTTGTTTTTTAAATCTAATTTATTCAAATTGAAAATAATATTAGGTCTCAAAATTTTCAGTTTGCAAATTTCAAAAAAATTACTGACAACAATTTTAGTATGACTTAAACTTTCAGTTATATGTTTAAACTTCCTGAAATGTATAGAGTTCGCTAAAGATTGAGTTTCATCATTTCAACTTAACTAGCTGTAATTTGTGGATAGCGCTAAATTACAATAGTGCTTATTTTCTTCTTAATTACTGCAATTTATAGAGCTCGCCAGACATAATTGTGACTATGAATGCCATCAGCTGTTTCTGACTTTGAACAGATCATATAATTATGATGATAGAATGGAATCAAACATTGAATGAAGACAACTGATTGGGGTGAAAAAGCATTTATACATAAAAATTAAAAATACAAAAATGATGTTCTAAAAAAGACGGCTTAGAAATATAGATGTTAATGATCGATCCTCTCTTGATGAACACAGCTCGATCTACCCACACCACATTCGCACCGAACAAGTATCAAATTACCACGACAAATTATGATAGTCTCTTTAAAAACTCGCTTTGTCTTTAACTAAAATGATTCTTAGTCCAGCTCAAATCGACGACCCTTGCTCGTGCATTATGGGTATTAGTTTATCAATAACAAAAGAAAAAAAGATCACCTAGTACATTTTATTTTTGACTTCCATTAAAATTCTTCACAGCTAGATCCAAACGAGAATTTTAATTCAACCAAAATCTAACATCCTCTACAAATTGCAGCATGCTTAGCAAAAAAAATAAGTTTTTATTAAAATATTTTAAAGCAATTGACTTTCAATATTCGTTTGATATGCATCACATGACCGAACTGCCTGTCGACTAAGGTTTTGTTGTATTATAGTGTTGTTTGTTGGAGTATGCTAGTACTTTATTAGGTCAGACTCAGATTGAAGGTTTAACATATGCAACGTACCATAATTTCACTCAAAGAGACAAAAATCTGGTACTTTTTGGCCAGTTTCATCGAAGAAAAGCTCAAAATTAGTTTCGGTCTTTGAATCTACTGTAGTAGTCAATCTATATCAAAATAAAAATGTCGGAAATCCAAAAGATTCTATTTTTCTTAGTCATGCCTCTTTGCCGTGAGTATGGAGCTCATCGCTGAGTCACATAGATCTCAGAGCACACCAACTTGTTCTCACCAGATCGGTTTTGGGAACAGTCACATTGATTCAACAGTTCATCTTCGATAATATTCTTTCGTTGGCATATACTATCATAAGTGTGTGTGGTCCCACCATCTATGTGGCATATCACAGCCATCGACTACCTACATATAGGAGAAATATGCATGAGAACCAGCAGGTGTCTATCATTACTCTCCATAAAAAGCACCACATTTTTTTAATGTTTCGTCAGAATAAAAATGGGTGTCCTTCATTTAATCATAGCTTTTATTGTCAGCGCTTCTTATGCGGCACTTTACCGACCCGTGGTGTTGATGCATGGTGTCACGACGACGGCTGCCGACATGAATGAGCTTGCCAGTTGGCTTACGGCATCGTTTCCAGGTATCTATGTTGTTTCGATCGAGATCGGCAATGGATACGAGGATTCTTTCATGTTACCAATGAATAAACAAGTCGAGCTCTTTTGCGCTACTATTCGCGCCGATATACATCTGCGTCAAGGCTTCAACATGCTTGGCGTTTCACAAGGTAGCTTGATTGTTAGAGGAGCCGTCGAGCGTTGCTCGCTGCCTGTCTATAATCTGATTACTCTAGTCGGAGCTCATCAAGGTGTATTTGGTATTCCTAGTCTTGAATCCCTTCCTCGTCAAATTCGGGAGTTAGTCTCAAACTTTGCGTATGAAGAAGCTGTCCAGAATGTGATTAGTGTTGCAGGCTTCTGGCGTGATCCTTTTCAACTAGAGAAATATATAAGTCGAAGCCATTTTCTGCCTGATATTAATAATGAACGTGAAGTTCGCAATGAAACTTATCGCTCGAATATGCTCAAGCTCAATGCGTTCATCATGACATATTCAGACATAGATGAAACTATAACGCCACCACAATCGGGATGGTTTCTGGGTTATGCACCAAAGTCGCTGAACACTGAGACATGGAATCAGTCTCATCAATTTACAGAAGATCTCATTGGAATGAGAACACTGCAGGAACTAGGCAAATTGCATCAGTTCATTTGTCACACACGTCATAAAGATGCTCAACATGCTCCTGATAAAGACTTCTTTTTTCAGAATATTTTGCCGTTTTTTAATAATACAATTTCATAGCCTATTGAGTACACGATAGGATAGATGGAGATGCCATCAATATCATCTTCAAAGAAAACTGAGAAGATGAAAATAGCAGAATTCTCTACTATTTGCGGGTCGGTAGGCAATTTGAAAATATTGTACTTTCGGCAAGTACCTTATGTTCACAGAATAGTTTGGCGTTGAATTCGTCCATTTTCATCGGATTCCATGATTTTGAACGCTTTTAACTTTTGTGACCTTTGTCATCATCGGCCAACTCAGTTGAATAGGTAAATCATTTTCTGACTTATCCTAGTATCAGAGTCTGGTATGGACATATTTCAGTGGTCACTCATTGTCAATATGGCATGAATATATTAATTATGCTCACTGAGACATTGCACTTTAACGCGAAACTGTGCTGCGTCTATCGACTAGCTCGATCGATTTGAGATTTTAGTTAAATCATTTGGACATATCACCATGAAATTCTAACTGATCATTGCCCGATAAGAATCGATCAGATATCGCTTTCAACGAACAGCAACTTCGATGGATTGGCAATCAATGAATTTGTTTACACAATCGGCAGAACTCTTTTCGACGTTTGTCCAGCGATTCAATGTCAAATCGACCCCATCCAATTCAGAAAGGATTTGAATATACCAAGCTATTTGAGGATGTAGTAAGATGAGTGGATTATCTCATGTATATCATAGTTGCAATCGATAGGGTTCTTCCGGACAGGTACCGATACCGGTCTAAACCGACCAGTAGACTGGCATGAGTCCTTGTTAATTTTTCTCATATTGTAAAAGTCACATTCATCTCTCTATTAGTCATACCTACGTTTGAATCACTCTAGATATTACGTAAGATTTTAATGTCACTATTAAAGTGCTTTCGTAAAACATGCTTATCAATAAGTGTTAAAATACATGGCGAGACAATTACTCTCATCTTTTCAGCTTGCTTCGAAAAGCGCTACAAATATGCCGACGCACTTTTAGCCTAGTGACAAAAATGTTGAAGTCTGCGGTCTCTTAGCAGATATGTGGACATGCTGGTCTTTGATCTCGCAATGATCTGTTATTTAGATGATGAAGTCATCCCTCTCCCTCCACTCTGGACTCCTAAAATAGTTCCAGTGAATCCATTGTGTTTAATACATATATTATGTAGGTGTTGCATTGACAGCTTGTTCTTCACAATCTGTTTTTATAGGTTTCCCCTCTTTTCACAACGACCAATGGGCATACCACTTCAGAGAACTAACGAATTCTATATTAGCTTTCAATACTTATCAAATATTCACCAGACATTGGAATTCTGAATCGACTATAGATCTATTCTCCATCTCTCGATAGGTTTAGTTAGTTATCTCTTTTCTCTCTGTGAAAGATATTGTATAAATGATACAAAATGAAATTAATTATGTTACAAATTACAATGAAAAAACAGTGATTCCACTTTTTTTTCAATGATGTAAATTGATATCGAAGGGTTATGGGGTGTGGGCGTAGGTGGCGTACGTGACACTCACACCCACCCTTACGACTGACTCATCATAGAATATTGTTTTCAATCGTAAAATTGCGTGTTTATTTTTCTGAAAAAGCAAAAATATGATATCCATAATTCAGTTAAGTACGCGTAGACCGACAAATGAAACAATGAATGATCAATTTGATAATGATTTCGATAGTGGATTCTGAATTCTTAACGCCGAGAGGGTTTCTGTATAGGGCGAATAGAAAGAGGCTCCCACTTCTGTAAATTCATTCAGCTTTGTTGTCATTGATTCTAGCCGTGGTTCTGAGTCTCTTCTGATGTCGGCTTCTTTTTCTGCTACTTGTCGTGACTGTTGGGTGCAAGCAGTGACCATTGTCGAACATTGGACAATTGGCTCAACCATATTCATCGATTTTTTACCTGAAATCAAGTGACGATGTAACTGATCGAAAGGCTTTATGGCATGTAAACTGCGATTGAACATCGCTTGAAGACCAAATTTGATCAGATCAAGTGGAACAAACCAAATGAGATTGTAAATCCAAACGATTACTAGGACAAAATAACAAGTCAGCATCATAATAAATTCGGATACAATGATTAAAAACTTCTATAAACATTCAACATCCAATGAAATGAATCAGTTCAAGGACGATAACTCAATTTAAAAGTATTTTTAGAAATATATTCGTTTGTTTTTTATGAAGCTGAGTAGAGTTCTGAAGTCGTCTCTATCATCAAAATTATGCTCATTACTAAAATTTAGCGAATAGAATCATAATAATCTGCCAGGTTATTTTAAATTTAATTGAAAAATGTAGTTTGATGATGAATATACATTATTACCTGCCCAACTCCATCCACAGCCACGAATATCGGTAAATCCCCAATTGGCATACACAGCAATGAGTGTGGCACTTAATTGTGTAATTACAAAGGCAGCAACTAGAAGCAGAGTTGGCCTTTCAGTAAAAAAGAAGCCATGAGATCGAGTGATGAATATCAATGCTTGACTGATCGTTGACATTTGCAGGTAGATTATTGAATTCAAATTATCGTTTATATTGCCCTCATTGCTAGTATACTCAAGCACATTGACACCGAAATGATCTTGGAAAAAACTCGTTTCCGTGGCAATTGCAAAAAAAGCCAGTGTTGATGCAGCCAAATAAAGGCCGTAGATGACTGCTGATATGAAAATGCGTTTCAAGAACCATTTGTTTGGTTTTGGGGACGGTTGAACATGGTCTTTGGAAATGGTCATAATTGTTCCATCGTTCAGAATGGCCATGATCAGAATCATGAATGGAGGAAAATCATATTCGAAAATGAAGATGAGCAATGCGAAAGCGACAATTACTCGAATTGTAATTGAACAAGTGTAAACAGCATAGCTTGTCATACGTGCAAAGATTTGTCGAGAGCCAAGTATGGCATCAATAATGACGGAAAGACCAGGTTCCGTAAGAACAATTGCAGCAGCTGATCGAGCGGCATCGCATGCATCTGAAACGGCCACACCGACGTTGGCCTTTGCCAGAGCTGGAGCATCATTGACTCCATCACCTATCGTTAGCTAGTCAGAGATAAATAATAAAATTCGCATAACTTACCAGTCATAGCTACCATATGACCCATATCCTGGAGTCGTTTCACAATTTCAAATTTGTGCTCAGGAAAAACGCTGGCAAATCCATCAGCACTGAACACAATGTCATCGATTTTCGGGTTGCCGTTTTTTGATCCATGTTCTGCTTGAGATCTGATCAAATCTTCGTACACATACATTGTATCACCCATACCCAAACGGCGTCCCGTCTCCTTTGCAATTTCTAACTGATCACCAGTAATCATTTTGACTCGAACACCTGATAAGACAAATGGGAACAGAAAGTAAGACAAAATATGACTCCAAAGGTTTGTTTCACTATACTATTAAGTATGTATTTTTTAGAAAGAAAAAAGGAAAAGATGATATACCCAGCTCTAATGCTTTCTTAATCGTTTCTGCTGTATCTTCACGAGGTGGATCAAAAATAGGCAGAAGTCCAATTAATTTGAAATGCTCGTCACCGTCAGCACTGGCCACAGCTAGAGCTCGGAAGCCACGTCTCGCAAATTCTTTCACATCCGATCGCATTTTGTCTGCCTGTTCGGTCGAGGTTGATTGGTGGTTGGCACACAATTTTAAGATTACCTCAGGCATGCCTTTGGTCACACGATGAACGGACAAGCTTAATTTATCTTGATAAGTAACTTCTGTTCTTTTGCTAGTCGGATCGAACGGAATAAACGAGTTGATATTGATTGTTTCATTGATTGAATCAGCTTGACCGAACGATTGCAAGACACACGTATCTCTAGATTGAATGATTAAGGCAATATTATACTGATTTATCAATGCACAATCAATCTTACATACATAGCATCAGCATGATCTCGATTGCATGCATAGGCGGCATATCGCATGATATCGTTAGATTCAATATTGGTATATTTGACAATAGCTTCTTTGTCAATGATCAGTTTATTTAGAGTTAGCGTTCCAGTTTTGTCCGAGCAGAGAATGGTCACAGCAGCAAGCTCTTCGATAGCGGTGATGCGAGTGATGATTGCTTTATGTTCGGACAACTGCTTAGCACCAATGGCCAAAGTGACCGACAATACGGTTGGCCTAAAATTAGAAAGACCTGACAGTAAGAGATCGAAACAAATCAAGAAATATCAGGCTCGACTGCATTTCTATCTTAGAGGAGTCTAACTCGACTCAAATCGAGCCGAGCCGAGTCATCGAGCATTGGCACAAATAGCAATTTTTTTCATTCACTCAAATTAATAAACTTAACGAAGAACGCATCGAAACTGACGGAAACGGCAAATCATTGTAAACCAAATTTGCTGATTAATGGAATAAGGAACAATTTTGAAAATGGCTCTCTCGCAAAGTATGAAATACTTGATGTTGAGAGACGTGTGAATGTGTACTTCTGAACGAAAGGACGAGTGTGTTTATGCAAATAAAATTCAAAAAAAATATTCTAAATGTAAATGAATACAAAATCAAATCGTAAAAAACCATTTTTTTCTTACAAAAAACTAGATTTTAAGCTATTTTTTATTCAATTTCGATCTATTTTAATTGATTTTTACCGAAAATAATCTATTTTTCCTAGTGAGCATGAATCAATCGTATCGATTACCCATGTTCGAAGCACATGGTGGGTAAAATCGAGTATCTCTTAGGAAAACCTATGGAAATCGATTGACATTGATTGAAAATCACCTAGAAGTCAAGTTTTTCGTACGATAAAGAATTGGTCCTTTGCGATTTTTATATTGCGATCATCTATTCATTTGTGTATCAGTTAGACGTCTGCGCGCTTTTATCACTCACTCAGTAGAACATGAGATAGACAGAGACATAGTCAAGAAAGGTAGTTGTAAAATGCTATTAGTTAAATCCATTAACGTTTTAGAAGCATGAATTAATTTAAAATGAAAACAAGGGCTAGATCGATGACCGTATATGTGGACGTAAAAAGATGAAAGCAACAATCAACTTTCATTAGATTTCTGCATTCGTTAGTTATGTCGAGCAGATGAGCGGTCTCAACAAGTCATTACCAAGACACAACTTAACAAAGCACTTAGAATCGTGGAAAAAGTCGAATTCTTCAAGTCAAACTTGATTCGTCCTGATTTCGATCTATGCTACCACTCATCATACAAGTTTCTACTTTCACATACATAGCAATGGGCAATCCTCCAATAAGCAAAACCAAGATATTGTTGATTCCTCGTCGATAATCGTAATGAAATCCAGCATACATGACCAAAATTTCAATGACAATGAAAGTAGCAATGGCAATCAGGCAAAAATTGCCAATCTTTGCCAAGATCTTTTGTAAATGTCCCATTTCATCTCGAGCGCTACCAACAATTTTCGCTGCACGCCCAAATTGAGTATTTGGCCCGGTTGCAATAATTATCGCTTCACATTCGCCCTGTTTGCAAATTGTTGAGGAAAGAATTTCATCACCGATTGTTTTTGATACAGGCAATGATTCACCTGTGAGTGCTGCTTGATCTAAAGAGATTTTTCCACCTGGGGACGAGGTAATCCGAGCATCGGCTGGTATAGCATTTCCTAATTTAATTGCGATGATATCACCTGGAACGAGTTCACTTGCTTGAATAATTGACCATGTTTCATTATTACGTTTTACCTGGCATTCAGGAGTTAATGAAGCCATTAGTGCTGCTACAGCATTACCTGCTCGATATTTTTCAATATAACCGATTGTGGCGTTGAGTAGAAGTAGAAAAACGATGCCGACAAAATCTGGCCAATCGGGAGGATCATTATCACCATTGCTCAATGCAATGGCCACTACAGCAGCAACTTCCATAACCCTACATAGTGTATGTAGACTTGAGAAATTGTGCGGTAAAGGAAAAATCTCACCATGAAAGTGGATTCCACATAAACAGAAGGAATTGAATTAGTGGATGACGATCCTTGTGTTCAATTTTATTCGGCCCAAACTAGAATAGACCAAGTGCGTGATTTTTATCTGTGCAAGAGGGTGATATTGACACATCCAAGCAAGAAATATACTACCAGTAAAAGTCATATTCAAATGTCTCAGATGGCACACAGAACAACACAAAGCACGTATTAATGCCAATCGAACTGTCTGTTGATTTCGATTCGATTCGGAGCGTTCACAAGATAACAGTTGATGCTTTTTCGGCTACCTCACAAATCACAACGAATTGAGGAAATTTTTGGATTAATTGAGAGACATACCAGTGGGTGAATGGTGCATTGATGATCCTAATCTTCTCAAATTGATATAGGAAAGAACAAAAGTGCTAAATTTCATTAATTTAATTTTTAGTGGGGTATGGGTGTGGATTATGTACAAGGATGTGAAAGAGAAAATCGCACACACACTCTCGTTCGCGCTGATACCCACCCACATCCACCCACTCCTTCTCGAGCTCAGCATGATAGATTGGTTCCACTTCGCTTAGAGTCCAGGGCAAAAACAGAGCAGCATGAAGGAAGTACAAAAAAAGCAAAAGCAGTCCACACTGGAGTTAGTTATTCAAATTTTTCTATAGAATTTAAAGTCATTGTTGTCATCGAACATATACTAGTGACACAAATTTGTTCGCTTTTGTTCAGTTAGGAGAAAAATATTATTCAACTTACTTTCTCAAGTCGTTCTTTGACCTGATCATCGCTAAGACCCTTTGATGAAGATCTAGATACAGCAATATAAGTGAATGAATAAGAAATCCTTGTTCTCACTCACGTACTCGAGTATTTTGTATACAGTAGCCAAATCGTATTTAGTCAAATCACACTTTTCTCTATCATACAAGACACCATTATCAATCGTCTTCCAATTTCCATCAGGTGCTAACGGTGCTAGAATATCAACTCTTGTCTCATGATTTTCTCTGGTCCAATTTTTTCGTTTCTGTCTCTCGTCACCCTCGTGATCGCTCATTAAAACAGTGACAGAGTTTGAAATCTGAAAATAGGTAGGTTGCAAATGCTTACTGACTTCTTCAGGCTATGTCTATGTTGTGAGAACAACTGCACATTTTATACTGGTATTGCTAATATTGACATTAACTTCATTCTGTTTACATATTACTTTTAACATCGACCAATGCGTAAGAAGTCATGACTATGTCTCATACTCCCATTAATTGCGTTTCTTTTTTTAAAATTGAAACAAGTATTTCTTATGTATTTATGGTCTTCTTCGACCCAGTAAGCAAGTGCAATTTTTTTATCCTTTTTTTCTCTTCAAGCCTCCTTTAAAAGATTTTCACTCAGCAGGTATAGTCATGATTTAGTTAACGAAAAATAACTGATTGCTTACTCATTCGTCATCATTGGCGATTATTTTTGGCTAGTATGCAATTACGCATTGACACGAAATTCAAGAATATTTGTTTTTTTGTCAGGCACAAAAAAATATGTAAAAATCGATTTACTCACTAATATATGAATGGTTGACTCATTTTGACATATACACTTTCAAAGACGTTTTGGGTGTGCGCGTCCACTCTTGACAAAATACACATCTTTAATAACGTTGACAAGTAGCTGGTATCGCACACTCACTGTATGCAGGTAGAGAAATAAACTGATTCATCGATCATTTATTTATTTCACACAAAAAATACAGTGAAGCTTTCAACCTCTTAAAAAAGGTTATTTTCAACACTAAAAAGTAATAGCAAAAAAAAATTCAAGGTAATATATAAAAATAATTTCTTTTCCTTTATTTTATTCTCTAAACATTGCATTGCCAAGGGAAGAAATGAGACTATCCCAATGCAATATATAGAAAAGAAAAGAAAGGAAAAAGAAATTATTTTATACATTACCTTGAAATTTTTTTGCTATTACTTTAGTGTTGAAAATGACCTTTTTAAAGAAGTTGAAAGCTTCACTATATTTTTTGTGAGAAATAAATGATTGATGAATTAGTTTATCTCGTAATTATTCTATTCACTAATATTTCATTTAACAACATGAGGTATAGAAGTATTACGAAGACCCATATAAAAATGTCTAACAACCTAACGAAGCCTTGTGACGTGAAAATTCGTTAAAAATTTAACAATTTCACTGCTAAAGACGTTACAATTTTGACCTTGAAAATGCGTTAAAACCATGCAAAAGTAACGCATTTAAACGCGCTTTGAAGTTCTAACCCGTGAAAACACGATAAATACGTACGCTGATACAAATAATACTGGTCAGAACTTGTGATACATTGTTATTTACCACAAGTGCGATGGTGATAAACTTCCTTCAATGATTGATATCTTCTTAAGTTTCATTCGTCTGAAGAGGAAATCCAGCGAA